TCTCCTACACCATGGTCTCCCAGGAGTCCTACTACACAGGAATCCCAGGGAGATATCTGCAGAGGAAGGTATGTCAGGACATCTCTTTCTGATTCTCATACTTCATACTGAAGGTATACAACATGGTCTCCTGGAGGTCCCACTACACAGGGATCCCAGGGTGATCTCTACAGAGAAGGACATCCAGGTAAATCTCATTCCCAGTTCCTTCATACTGGAGATATTTACAGCATGGTCTCCTGGAAGTCTCACTACACAGGGTAAACCTCTTTAGAGGAAGGCACGTGCTGCACAATGCACTGCCATACTCTATACCGAAATACTGTATATAACATGGCCTCCTGGAAGTCCTGCTACATGGGGATCCCAGGGAGACCTCTTCAGAAGAGGGCATGCTGGGACATCTCATTCCCAGTTCCTTCATACTTGAGATTTAAAACATGGCCTATTGGAAGTCTTACTACAGAGTTCTGGGGAAATCTCTGCAGAGGAAGACACATACAGGATGTTTCATTGCCATCCTTTTGTACTAGAGCAAGGGTCTCTAAACTTTCAGACTTTGGGGGGGGGGGGGGGGGGCGGACTATTCCCTTTGGTGGGAGTAAAAAGTGCCCCATCAATGGTGTCAGTGGAAAAAATGCCCCCTATTGTCAGTGGGGAGGATGCCCCATCAGTGCCCCATGAATAGTGCCCCATCAGTGGGAGGAAATAGTGCCCCATCATTGGTGTCAGTGAAAAGAAAATAGGCCCTATTGTTGGTGTCAATTGGTATCAGTGGGAGGAATAGGCCCCGTCATTGGTGTCAGTGGTAGAAAGGAATAGTGCCCCATCATTGGTATCAGAGATAGGAATAGTGCCCCATCATTGGTGTCAGTGGGAGGAATAGAGCCCCATCATTGGTGTCAGTGGGAGGAATAGTGCCCCAACATTGGTGTCAGTGGCAGTAATAGTACCCCATCGTTGGTGTCAGTGGGAGGAATAGTGCCCCATCATTGGTGCCAGTGGGAGGAATAGTGCCCCAACATTGGTGTCAGTGGGAGGAATAGTGCCCCATCATTGGTGTCAGTGGGAGGAATAGTGCCCCATCATTGGTGTCAGTGGGAGGAATAGTGCCCCATCATTGGTGTCAGTGGGAGGAATAGTGCCCCATCATTGGTGTCAGTGGGGGGAATAATACCTTATGTAGGTGTCAGTGGGAGGAATGGTGCCACATTGTTCGTGTCAGTGGCAGGAATTACTGTATGTCTCAAGGGCTAAACAAAGGCAAGCAAAGGGCCACATCTGGTCCGCGGGCTACAGTTTAGAGACCACTGTACTAGAGATTCTGTACATAATATGGCCTCCTGTAAGTCCCACTACTCAGGACCTCGGGGAAATGACTGTAGAGGAAGGCACGTGCAGCACAATTCATTGCCATACTTTGTACTGAAGATCCTGTACATAATATGGCCTCCTGAAGGTCCTGCTCCCCGGGGGTCCCGGAGACGTCTCTTCAGAGGAGGACATGCTGGGACATCTCAGCAGAGTAAAGAGCCAGGAATTTACCCCTTTTAATGTAACCCGAGATTAATGAGAGCGACAGATCAGAGAGTCAGAGCGGAGAGCCATCAGATATCCCTCCAGACACCTTCCTGTCTGGTACAACATGGAGGCCGCTCTGCAAGTCGCCGGACAGAATGCGCCTCTTTATTCCTGCAGGAAATTCCCTTCCTGTCTGTGTTATATTATTGATGAAGCCAGACAGGGAGATCTTCTATTCTGCCAAATCCCCTTCACTGTACTCACTTCTCTTTAATCACAACCTGGTACCCAATGGCTTAAAGAGGACCTGTCAGTAATTTATCAAGTTGGCCTGAATAAAATCCTGATGTAACAATATATAACACTGACAGAAAGAAAAAGAGCTGCAACAATGACAATGATGAACTAGTATTAAATGAGCAGTGTTTTTAGTGTAACGCCCATTGAGGACAATGAAATAAAAATTCCCCAGTAAATTAAAATTCTTACCCCAGCTTTCAGGGCTGCTGGCTCTTGCTCTCTTGTTGCTGCTTCCCTGAACTTCTGGTCTTATTTTATTATAGGTACTTATATAGCACAATCAATTTACACAGTGCTTTACATATAAATATATATATACAGTATATATATATATATATAGTACGTTCACACAGGGGCGTCCCTAGGGTTAGTGTCACCCGGAGCAATAACACCCCCTCAGACGATCCCCGCAGAATGGATCAGATCTGCAGACTGAGCATAATGGATCGGACTCCGATCCATTATGCTGAATCCGCAGATCTGATCCATCCTGCAGGATCATCAGCTTTCTTTACAACTTACCTTTTCATGGGTCTGGTGTCACCCCATATAGGTTACATGCCGACAATCCCCGCAGGATGGATGGGATCTGCGGATTGAGCATAATGCATCGGACTCCGATTCATTGTGCTCCCCAATCCGCAGATCCGATCCATCCTGTGGGGATTGTCGGCATGTAACCTATATGGGGTGACACCGGACCCATGAAAAGGTAAGTTGTAAAGAAAGCTGACGATCCTGCAGGATGGATGGGATCTATCCTAGGGGGATTGACGGCTTGCTTTACAACTTACCTTTCTGTGGAGTGGGTCCGGTGTCACCCGGTGTGGCATGCACCCCCTGCACCTGTCTTGGGACACTGCTGCATTCACATCAGTCCCTAACCCTCAAGGGGTGTGCAATGTAAAGTCCCTAACTCACATCCATATACTAGGGCCAGTTTAAGACAGGATCCAATTGACCTACCAGCATGTCTTTATAGTGTGGAAGGAAACTAGAGTACCCAGAGGAAACCCACGCAGGCACAACATGCAAACTCCAGGCAGGAGGTGCCGTGTTTGGGATTTAAACCAACAACCCTACTACTATCAGGCGGAAGTGCTAACCATTTAGCTGCTGTACTGCCCTGGTCTTCACAGGTCTTCTTCCCTGGTCTTCACAGGTCTTCTTCGCTGGTCTTCACAGGTCTTCTTCGCTGGTCTTCACAGGTCTTCTTCCCTGGTCTTCACAGGTCTTCTTCCCTGGTCTTCACAGGTCTTCTACCCTGGTCTTCACAGGTCTTCTTCGCTGGTCTTCACAGGTCTTCTACCCTGGTCTTCACAGGTCTTCTTCCCTGGTCTTCACAGGTCTTCTTCCCTGATCTTCACAGGTCTTCTACCCTGGTCTTCACAGGTCTTCTTCGCTTGTCTTCACAGCTCTTCTTCGCTGGTCTTCACAGCTCTTCTTCACTGGTCTTCACAGGTCTTTTTCGCTGATCTTCACAGGTCTTCTTCCCTGGTCTTCACAGCTCTTCTTCGCTGGTCTTCACAGGTCTTCTTCGCTGGTCTTTTTCGCTGGTCTTCACAGGTCTTCTTCCCTGGTCTTCACAGGTCTTCTTCGCTGGTCTTCACAGGTCTTCTTTGCTGGTCTTTTTCGCTGGTCTTCACAGGTCTTCTTCCCTGGTCTTCACAGGTCTTCTTCCCTGGTCTTCACAGGTCTTCTACCCTGGTCTTCACAGGTCTTCTACCCTGGTCTTCACAGGTCTTCTTCGCTGGTCTTCACAGGTCTTCTACCCTGGTCTTCACAGCTCTTCTTCGCTGGTCTTCACAGCTCTTCTTGGCTGGTCTTCACAGCTCTTCTTCCCTGGTCTTCACAGCTCTTCTTCGCTGGTCTTCACAGGTCTTCTTCGCTGGTCTTTTTCGCTGGTCTTCACAGGTCTTCTTCCCTGGTCTTCACAGGTCTTCTTCGCTGGTCTTCACAGGTCTTCTTCGCTGGTCTTTCGCTGGTTTTCACAGCTCTTCTTCGCTGGTCTTCAAAGGTCTTCTTCGCTGGTCTTCACAGGTCTTCTTCCCTGGTCTTCACAGGTTTTCTTTGCTGGTCTTCACAGGTCTTCTTCTCTGGTCTTCACAGGTCTTCTTCCCTGGTCTTCACAGGTCTTCTTTGCTGGACTTCACAGGTCTTCTTCGCTGGTCTTCACAGGAAACAGTTAACAATGGACAGTGCAGTCTCCAATCAGTCTGTTAGCTTAGGGAATGGAGGAACAGAGAAGTGTTTTGCTATCCCAGGCTACAGGGCTGTGTGCTTCTATTGATGCACACAGTGGAGGGAGACACAATGTTAGTTACATGTGCATACAAGGGTGGCTCCATAAGGTGCTGCAAATGAAAGGAGCCGCCCTGAAACAGGAAACTTGGGACAGCGGTCATGTCACCAGAATAAAATGGAGGAAGGCAAGGATTACTAGATAAAGACATTGCATTTTCAGTAAGTTCATCAACGGCTGAAAATGCTTACAAACCTGAGAGTGTAATATAACTTTGAGCTCCAACCATTGACTTTACCTAGGCTGGGATGATGTCATCAGTCTGCTGCAGGCAGGAGGAAGCATTTCCTCAGTCTCCTCTCCATCGGTGCTTTGAATGCAACAGTTTATGGCCAAGGTGACAAGGTGAGAGGCTACAGCAGGGACTATGCAAACGCAGCAAAGAACTGCACAGGTACCAGGAATTACTTGAATGCATCATCTCTGAGCTGACACCTCAGTCCAAGTAAATGGTGACTCTGCATGATGCCTGAACAAAGATGGTGCCGTCCTTCTGGAGAGAAAAGCAAATGAAGGCGTTGCCAGAGGGAGTCCTGTGATCTCTGTGAGTGGTAATAAATAACTTAAAGCAGAACTCCTTCCCTTTACTCGTGCACAGGTGTACTGGCTCCTCCCCTTCAGTCTTGCACAGATGTACTGGCTCCTCCCCTTCAGTCTTCCACAGGTGTACTGGCCCCTCCCCTTCAGTCTTGCACAAGTGTACTGGCTCCTCCCCTTCAGTCTTGCACAGGTATACTGGCTCCTCCCCTTCAGTCTTGCACTGGTGTAGCAGCTCCTCCCCTTCAGTCTTGCAAGCTTGTACAGGCTCCTCCCCTTCAGTCTTGCACAGGTTTACCAGCTCCTCCCCTTCAGTCTAGCACAGGTGTACCGGCTCCTCCCCTTCAGTCTAGCACAGGTATATCCGCTCCTCCCTTTCAGTCTTGCACAGATGTACCAGCTCCTCCCCTTCAGTCTTGCGCAGGTGTACCGGCTCCTCCCCTTCAGTCTAGCACAGGTGTACCGGCTCCTCCCATTCAGTCTAGCACAGCTATATCCGCTCCTCCCCTTCAGTCTTGCACAGATGTACCAGCTCCTCCCCTTCAGTCTTGCGCAGGTGTACCGGCTCCTCCCCTTCAGTCTTGCACAGGTGTACTGGCTCCTCCCCTTCAGTCTTGCACAGGTGTACCGGCTCCTCCCCTTCAGTCTTGCACAGGTGTACCAGCTCCTCCCCTGGACTGAACGTCTTCCTCTGATGTCACCGCACACTGGGAGCTTCTCACAATGTACATTAGAAGCTGCAGCCAGTCTAAGTCTTCTCCCTTTTCTCAGTCTGAGCTCTGTTGTTCGTTGGATGTAAGAGGCTGATAGTAAGTCCAGTTCATAGACCTAAACATAGGCCATTGGTACCTTATATCAGACTTGAGTTTCGCTTCATTGGTCATTTACACCTCAATCTCTGCATCCACTGTGCGTCTCTGTAGCACATTTTGTGCGTTTGCAGTACTTTTTCAGTGAACTTTTTGGAAGATCTTTTTTTTTATTATTTCCCTCACTAAGTTGCATTATGGCCAGGTTGCGGTTGATGCATTTTCTTGGATCATTTTGCGGTGTGCCATGTTGCTAGGAGGAGGTGAATGTTGTCATGCAGAAAAACGCACCAAAAATACATGTACGTGCATTTTTTCGTGCATTTTTGATGTGATTCTATTGGAGTCAATGGAGCCAAAAACGCACCGTACTGCGTGTAACAAAGTCCCTGCACCTCTCCAAAAAACGCACCGGTGGAAACTGCAGAGATGTAGACGTGACCCATAGGAACTGATGTCCAATGGACTGTAGTGTGTTTCTGCAAATCTGCAAACGCATTGCAAACCGCAGAGGTGTGCACCGAGCCTTACACGCGTTCATGCGTGTACATTCTGGAAAACCCACCAAGGCCACACCCCCAATGTGTTTCACCCCACCCCTGGGCTTAATTATGATTTAGCCTTAGGGGCGGGGCAAAGAACACCTTGTCCGGCCATGTAGTAGGCAAATAAAAAAAAGCCTCAGCTCAATCCAAGCCACACCCCCAATGAATTTCACCCTGCCCCCAGACTTAATCATGATTCTGCCCCAAGGGCGGGGTGAAGCACACAGCCATGTAGTAGGCAAATAAAATCAGCCTCAGCTCAATCCATCAAAGACACGCCTCCAACGCATTTCGCACTGCCCCAGGATTAATTATGATTAAGCCATGGGGTGGGGCTTAGCAAACCTCGCTCAGTCATGTAGTAAACAAATAAAAGCATCCTCAGCTCAATCCATCCAAACCACACCCCCAACGCGCTTCACCCTGCCAATGGGGTTAATCATGATTAAGCCCCAGGGTGGAGTGCAGCACGCCTTGCCTGGCCATTTAGTAGGCAAATAAAAGCAGCCTCAGCTCAATCCACCAAAGTCATTCAGCCAATGCGTTTTGCCCTGCCTCTGGGTTTAATCAAGATTAAGCCCTGGGGCGGGGGTAAGCACACCTCGATGGGCCGTGTAGTAGGCAAATAAAAGCATCCTCAGCTCAATCCATCCGAAAACGTTCTCCAACGCATTTTCACCCTGCCCCTGGGGCTAATCATTATTAAGACCTGGGACGGGTGAAGCACACCTTGCCTAGCCATTTAGTAAAAAATAAAAGCAGCCTAAGCTCAATGCACCAAATCCATTCCTCCAATGCGTTTCGCCCTGTTCCCAGGTTTATACAAGATTAAGCCCTAGGGCGGGGGTAAGCACACCTCACTCGGCCGTGTAATAAACAAATAAAAGCATCCTCAGCTCAATCCATCTAAACCATGCCACCAACGCGTTTCACCCTGCCAATGGGGTTAATCATTATTAAGCCCTGGGGGTGGGGTGAAGCACACCTTGCCTGGCCATTTAGTAGGCAAATAAAAGCAGCCAAAGCTCAATGCACCAAATCCATTCCTCCAATGCCTTTCTCCCTGCCCCCCGGATTTAATCAAGATTAAGCCCTGGGGCGGGGGTAAGCACACCTTGCTCGGCCGTGTAGTAGGCAAATAAAAGCAACCTCAGCTAAATCCATCCAAACCATACCTCCAACACGTTTCACCCTGCCCCTGGGGTTAATCATCATTAAGTCCTGGGGTGGGGCTTAGCACACCTCGCTTGGTCATGTAGTAAACAAATAAAAGCATCATCAGCTAAATCCACCCAAACCATACCCCCAACACGTTTCAGTCTGCCAATGGGGTTAATCCTTATTAAGCCCTGGGGCGGGGGTAGGCACACCTTGCCTGGCCATTTAGTAGGCAAATAAAAGCAGCCTCAGCTCAATCCACCAAAGTCATTCCTCCAACGCGTTTCGCCCTGTTACCAGGTTTATACAGGATTAAGCCCTGGGGTGGGGTGAAGTACACCTTGCCTGACTATTTAGTAGGCAAATAAAAGCAGCCCCAGCTCAATCCATCAAAGCCACGCCCCCATCACATTCTGCACCGCCCCAAGATTAATCATGATTATGCCCTGGGGCGGGGCTTAGCACACCTTGGCTGGCCATTTAGTAGGCAAATAAAAGTAGCCTCAGCTCAATTCACCAAAGCCAATTCTCCAATGTATTTCGCCCTGCCCCCGGGCTTTATCATGATTAAGCCCTGAGGGTGGGACGAAACCTGTTGGGGGCATGACCCAGCAAGGTGTGCTTCTCCCAGCCCTGGGATTCATTATAATTAAGCCTGGGGGCTGTGCGAAATGCGTTGGAGGCGTGTCTTTAATGGATTGTGCTGAGGCTGCTTTTATTTGCATACTACACGGCCGGTCAAGGTGTGTGGCAGCCGTTAGGCTCCAGTCATAACTGTACGACTCCAAAGTTGCACGACTATGGAGAGCAACTTTTGTGCAACTTTGATGCAACTTTGACGCAACTTTGGATGGGAGCAACTTGGATACGACTTTGGCTTTCATTAATGATAATGGACAACTGCTGCATGTATAACATTCAGGTGCAACTTTCATATGACTTGTGAGGGTTTTCATTGAAGTCTATGGCACTCAAGTCGCATGAAAGTTGTACCAATGTAGTGCACAGGGGAGGACTGATAGTTCATGGGGCCCCCGGGCAATAGGGGATCATGGGGCCCCTGTGTCCTTGACCACACTCAAAGCACACCCAAAAGAGCCTATAAAAGATACCAGGGGCATTTCATGGGGCCCCCTACTGACCCTGGGCCCTAATGCTCTAATGGTCAGTCCGCCCCCCTGGTAGTGCAGGAACTACTCTGAAGTCGTAGCGATTGGAAGCCACACAGATATGGATTGTACCCATTGGGAAACATGAAGGGTGACTTGTCATGCGACTTTGGACCACAAAGTCACATAAATGTGAATGTTTTTTTTTAAGTTGCATTAAAGTTGCACCAGATTTGCACTCCGAAGTCGTGTCCCTTTGGAGTCATACAGGTGTGAATGGAGCCTTAGTGACTGTGTTGCATGGACGCAGGCTCAGGAAGTTCCCACAGAAAGGGATGGATTTGTGGTCAGGTGTGAAGCATGTTGTCATCCTTCTTCCTGAGGGCGATTTTTAATGATTGGAGTCCAGAGTCTCCTCTTCCCACGATCCCGCCCCTCCCCCGGCCCGTTCTCAATTTTCTCCCGCTGCTGCAATTGTCATCTTCTCTTGGTGGGAAAGAATGTGCGTTGGGGATGAGATGCAGGCTTCTGCTCCCACACCGGCTCCGACGACAGCTTTTACGGCTTGTCTGCGCTCCAGGCTCTGACTCATCCCTGTAATATTGTGTGACTGTTATACTGAGCAGGATGTAAATCGCTACCCGAGCGACGGATGTCATCATCGGTGCACATGTGGCCCCCGGTCACCGCACAACTCTCACTCTCCATGAATAACACGGCCTTATTAACAGAGGCTAGTACATCTCCCCTTCAGTCTTGCACAGGTGTATCAGCTCCTCCCCTTCAGTCTTGCAAAGGTGTATTGGCTCCTCCCCTCCAGTCTTCCACAGGTGTACCGCCTCCTCCCATTCAGTCTTGCACAGGTGTACAGGCTCCTCCCCTCCAGTCCTGCACAGGTGTGCCGGCTCTTCCCCTCCAGTCCTGCACAGGTGTGCCGGCTCCTCCCCTCCAGTCCTGCACAGGTGTACTGGCTCCTCCCCTTCAGTCTTGCAAAGGTGTATCAGCTCCTCCCCTTCAGTCTTGCACAGGTGTATTGGCTCCTCCCCTCCAGTCCTGCATAGGTGTACTGGCTCCTCCCCTTCAGTCTTGCAAAGGTGTATCAGCTCCTCCCCTTCAGTCTTGCAAAGGTGTATTGGCTCCTCCCCTCCAGTCTTGCACAGTTGTACCGCCTCCTCCCATTCAGTCTTGCACAGGTGTACCTGCTCCTCCCCTTCAGTCTTGCACAGGTGTATTGGATCCTCCCCTTCAGTCTTGCACAGATGTATCAGTTCCTCCTCTTCAGTCCTGCACAGGTGTATAGGCTCCTCCCCTTCAGTCTTGCACAGGTGTACTGACTCCTCCCCTTCAGTCTTGCACAGGTGTACCGGCTCCTCCTCTTCAGTCTTGCACAGGTGTAAAAGCCCCTCCCCTTCAGTCTTGCACAGGTGTACAAGCTCCTCCCCTTCAGTCTTGCACAGGTGTACCGGCTCCTCCCCTTCAGTCTTGCACAGGTGTACCGGCTCCTCCCCTTCAGTCTTGCACAGGTGTACCGGCTCCTCCCCTTCAGTCTTGCACAGGTGTACCGGCTCCTCCCCTTCAGTCTCGCACAGGTGTACCAGCTCCTCTCCTGGACTGACATGTCTTCCTCTGATGTCACCGCACACTGGGAGCTTCTCAAAATGTACATTAGAAGCTGCAGCAAGTCAGATAGAGCTCCACCTCATTTCCTGGCTGGAAGACGCCCAGCATTATCTAGTCCTTTCTCCCCAGCCTGACTGTCCCTTGCCCCGCCTCTTTCATTGGATGTTACTTCCTTCAATCATGGAAGCTGAGCATCACGTGTGGGCGTTATCTAGGGTGGTCTGCATACAGTTACAGCCTGCCTAGGAGCGCCCACTCCTCCAGTCTGACATCCGCCCATCAAGGCATTTTGACATTTGCATAACTCCTCCCAAGAGCCAACCACTGCTCCTATCATCGTGGGGGCTCCTGGGAGGAGTACTGAGGTGGGGTGCTGTGATGTTTTATGAAGCTATATACAGCCCCCTGCAAGCCCCTCTCACCAGCCATGATCTGCCAGCATTGCATAGAGAAGCACAGAGACCCCAAATTGTCAACAAGCATCTCCTATGTCATGTAACTTTACGAACCTGGCCAGCCATAGTGGAGTGCAAGCAGTGGTGCTTCCGTGTTCAGTTACTGATTTCTCTGTCCTGTCTTAGTGCTCTTTTACACTTGCACTTACAGGGGGGTGGTAAAAACAGGTGGTTGAGTTGTGGTGTTAAAAGCCCCCCCAGCCGCTCCCCAGAATTCCGACGTTACAGCCAGGTGGTACTGCCTGTCAAACTCGCCCACTGTGATCGCAGTCATGGTCCAGCAATTTAAATTGCTGTTTAGCAATTAAAAAACATTCTGAAAAGCCCCCCAAAAAAAAACAGGCATCAGGAGGCGGTAGTATCACCTCATGAACACTCGCCAACTACTGCTATAACACCCTCTGAAAAGCAATCCGCCACAGATTGCTTTTCAGCAGGTGGCAAGCATTACCCTCAGTGTGAAAGAACACTCGTGGTGGTAAACGGCTGTAATCCCTTTGAAAGGGTTTCTGGAGCAATTATTAAAGATGAAGCAGGGGCGTCCCTAGGGTTGGTGTCACCCAGTGCGATAACACTTGGTGACACCCCCTCCGATGATCCCCGCAGGATGGATCGGATATGCAGACTGAGCATAATGGATTGGACTCCGATCCATTATGCTCCCCAATCCGCATATCCGATCCATCCTGCAGGGATCGTCGGCTTGCTTTACAACTTTCCTTTTTGTGGACCGGGTCCGGTGTCACCCAGTGCAGTCGGTGTCACCCAGTGCAGGCCACACCCCCCGCACCTGCCTAGGGACACCACTGAGATGAATTTTAGTTAATAAAAGTTTTTGTTTTTCTCTACAGTTGATTACTATTGATGAGGGAGGGGTCTGCTGGCAGATCTCTAGTTGCTGGAGTGGATCTATTGTTGCTGGGGGGTCTCTTGATGAGGGAGGAGTCTATTGCTGAACGGTCAGTTGTTGCTGGGAGGAATCTACTGTTGAGGGTGGGGTCTGTTGTTGCTGGCAGATCTATTGTTGCTGGAGTGGGTCTATTGTTGCTGGGGGGGGGGTTTCCTCAGGGTGCTTTTGTTGCTGGCAGCCAAGGGATATATTTTACTGCTTTTTATGTATCTTTATTATCTTTAGCAAATTCCACACAAATGACTTAACACCACAAAATGATACTTGGTTCTGTATTCTCTAAATGAGGTAGTATTGGTAGGGGGTGGAACTAAAGGATGGTGCTCATGGGCGGGTAGGGGGCGGAGACAAGGGGTGACTTGGAAGGGGGAGAGAGTTTTGGCACCTAAAAAGCCCTGCCCACACGCATATGTTACTAGTGTTTTACTAGGGGGTGGGGGGGGCGGGGTGTTCTTCACTGTAAGCACACTGATTGGGATGGCTGTACTGTGCATAGCCATCCAGAGCAGTGTGCCTGAGCTAACAGGGAGGAAGATTGTTTGTAAACAAAACAGTCTTCCTCCCTGTCGGAGATGTAATTACTGACAGGGATGCAGGGATTGACATCTGCGGCCCCGAATGGTGGCACGGGTAGGGCGCGCACGCGGCTTGTACCCGCCCCCTACCCAGAAATGCAAAATCTTGGTTAAGTTGACATTGACACCTGTTGCAGATTGCAGCTGCATTGCATTTTGAATGCGGTGCAGATAATGCACACGGAATGCAGGATTCCTGCACTGCATTCTGATGTAAATGGGCCCTTGGTCCGCATTTGCGGGATTTAGTTGGTATCGTAGGAAGGTCCCACCAAAACAAGAACCAGGAGGTATGGATTTGCGTTAGAAGAGGAAAGGATTTGTGATTGGAGGGAGGGGGATTTGGGAGGAGGATTTGTGATTGGAGGGAGGGGGATTTGGGTAGGAGGATTTGTGATTGGAGGGAGGCAGATTTGGGTAGGAGGATTTGTGATTGGAGCGAGGGGGATTTGGGTAGGAGGATTTGTGATTGGAGCGAGGGGGATTTGGGTAGGAGGATTTGTGATTGGAGGGAGGCAGATTTGGGTAGGAGGATTTGTGATTGGAGCGAGGGGGATTTGGGTAGGAGGATTTGTGATTGGAGCGAGGGGGATTTGGGTAGAAGGATTTGTGATTGGAGCGAGGGGGATTTGGGTAGAAGGATTTGTGATTGGAGGGAGGGAGATTTGGGTAGGAGGATTTGTACTGGGGAGGATGTGGGGGAGATTTGACCCAGGATAGGGTGAGGTTGAAAAGGTATAGGGGAGAGGGTGGGAGGCTGAAAGGGTAAAGTGGGGGAGGGGGGACTCTTCCACGTTCCTTACCCCTACACTTTGCAGTACACACCCCTGACTCCTGCACTCTTTTTGTTTTGCACTGTGCATTACACAATCCTATCCCCTGCATTCTGTACATTACATACTCCTGAACCCAGCTCTCTGTGCGTCATGTACTCCTAAACCCGGCACTGACTGTACATTACACACTCCTGATCCTCAAATACTTTGCATTACACACCCTGAACCCTGCAGTCTGCATTAGGTATATGTGGCACTACCCCTTAGGACTCGCTGAATTTTTGGGGCTCCCTATAGTCCTGCACAGTCAGGCAACACACATTATTCTCAGACTTGAATTCTGGAGACAGTAACCAGTCCTTGAACTTGGTTTGTAAGTTTTATTAGGGGTATTTGAACTTGGATGGGGTTGAGGGATGTATGGGGTGCCCAAGGAAACTGCAACTGAGGACAAACTCCTTAGGAGCTATGTACAAGTCTTTATACAGCAAGGATTTCTTCTTGGAGAGCTCTCCAGCCTCTCCTGGTGTACCACCCCAGACCCCAGATGAATCCTCTCCTCATCCAGCTGCCTGAGGGAACCCCTGGGCAAAGGGGACCCAATATCCATCTCTTTAAATCAAACAGTCCCAGATGTTGGCTAGTTAGGTTTCCCATCCGAAAGCCTTTTTCCCTTATCCACCCAAGGGGGCTGTAGGACTACTCACTCTTTCTCTCCTGTGAGCTTGTTGGGTTGGTGGCTGCCTTCAGACCCCCTGCTGGGCTGGCTCCTTCCCTGCTGCACAGGTGGACCTCTCTCAGGAGGCTACTGAGGTTGAAAGATCCTCCTTTTAGATCCACCCTGTAGGTGAGCTCCTTCCCACTGGGCCCCCTCCCAAGATACTGCATCCCAGCCTCTCACTCCATCTTCCACCCAGACTCCTGCTGCTGAGCAGGCTCAGTCATACTTAATGGCTGTCCTGACCCCATACCAAGCCTCCAACCTAGGGATTGGCCAGGATTCCTTAAGTATGAAGATCAGTCACTCCTTACCCACTGCCTTCTAGAAACTTCTCAAGTCTCTAGAGCAGGGAGAGGTATCAGGAAATGCTGATCTGCAGAGCCCTCAGCCCTGATCTAAGTTGACCTGACTGACTTACACCCAGGCTGACTCATGCCCAGGCTACTATTCAGCCCTCCTCACTAAAAAAAAAAACGAGTTCCCCCTGGCTACCTAGAGGTGGGCTAAATATACTAAACCTGATACTGACTGCAGCACCCTGTGTATTGTACATCCCCAACCCCTGCGCTCTGCCTATCAGGCTCCTGCACTATATACACAATACTGTACATTATGTATTTCTCATCAAAGTGTTCATTGTCTCAACAATTGCTGGTTGCTATGCAGTCTTTGACTATATAGATGAAGGCCTTCTTTAAGGTAGAGAAGGGGGGGGGGGCACAAAAATCCTTGCACTGGCCCTGATGGTAAGCGTAAGGTTCAGGATCACTCTTACTACGGGTTTACAGTGTAACTAGAACCTTCAGGGTCCCAGTGCAAGAAACCATGAAGGGCCCCCCTGACACCTCCCCTCCCCATTCCATCGGTCCTGGGCCCTTCCTTCTGAGCCTGTGGCTCTTCCCTCTAGACCTGGGGCCCTTCCCACTAACCCTGGGGCCCTTTTCCCCTGTCACAGGGCCCTTTATTATGGTTCTGCAGTTGGACCCCTTCACATGTTCTGCAGCTGGTCCCATTCCTGCTGTGTTGGGCCCCCCCCGTGGTGGTGGAAAGCAAGAGCTATGTTAACAGAAGCCCAGATTAGGAAATTAGGAACCACATATAATGCAGTGCACAGTCTTTGCATCTGGTCAGCTGGATCACAATAACCAATCATTTAAAGGTTGGGCTCCCAGTACTCATGTTGTTAGTGTGTGTTGGAGCGTTAGGGAGAACTTACAGTTTTGTGTAGGAAAAGGTACTTTTATTTTTGGCATTGGTCCTTGTCCTCCATGGCAGTGCCCAGCTTCCCATACATTTTGTTTGACAATTCCTTGTTTATTAGCCCTGCAAATAGCTAGAATACATAAGATTCACCTCTAATAGACTTCAAAGGGGTTTGCTGCAAAAATCACAAACTTTAAACTTCAAGGAAGATTTGCAAAACTGTTGATGAACCAAACCCAGGCAGATCCCATCACATTTTACTTGGCCACTCTCTCCAGTATCTACCAGTTGTGAGTGGTCTGACCCTTTCTAGGTTCTCC